ACACACACAGCAGCTGCTTTCAGCACACACACTCACTTTGTTCACACGAGGACAAAAAACTTTATTTAACTGAGCTTGTGTGACAGGAGAGCGTGAGTTTAAAGCTCTGCACAGAAGAATCACACGAGCAGGTTTCTGTGGAGCTTCACCTGAGACACGAGGAGGGAGGAGACAAGGACACGAGGAGGCGAAGGAGACCCGATGACAAAGCGCTCAGAGTACGTAGCTGCTCTGAGTGGAGGCGGCTTCATGGTGTGATGGTGGATAAAAGGCTGAAACATGCTGAAGGTGGTATTTGACTGCAGGCTGGAAGCATCACACTGCATGACAGCGCTCGTCTCCCTGCTGCACACACGTCTGACTCTTCTTCTGTGTTTCCAGATTAGAGAGCAGCAGGCATGAAGTCATCACCTGTGTGGCCTCGTTTACTAATGTTTGTATGAAAAAGTTCAAACTTCTTGGAGATGTTGGAACAAACACAGTGGTGTGTATGTTTGGAAACACTGGGGGCCAAGCTCAGCGTCTGCTCTGCTCCATCCACATCTTTGCCTTATTTTACACACGACTCCATCAGGTTACAGCTGAACGATGAACGCACTGCTTCCTGCCACAGGCTGCAGATCAGTCAGCGTTCTGATGGCGCCGATCTTTTCACCCAATGACATCTGTCGTCACAGTCACATGACTCCTCTTTGTGTGAATTAAAGTTTTCTATCTGCGTTTTATTTATTTCACACAAACTGTTGTTGTAATGTCACCAAATGTCCACTAGATGTCAGCAGTCATCAGAGTACATCAGCCTTCATGCTCTGAATACACAAACATACATGTGCACTTAAATGAGCTCACGTTATTGATCTGATGGATCGCCTTTGTTTTTATAAGTCAGTGTTACCATGGAAACGACACTAACACACTATCTAAACATACAGTGGATTTATTTGACTTTAGTCTTGAATGGAAACAATAACCTGACATCTGATCATCAGAGCGTCACCTGTAACCATGGTTACTGACCTGCAGCCTCACATCACCAAACCCACGAGGACGAAGCAGCTCTGAGCAGCGTCACTGCTGAGAACACCAACATGTGCAGGAAAGCTGTGCTGGCTTTGATTCTCTGCCTGTTTACAGCTTCTGTAGGTGAGTGTTTGCATGAGAAAGATGGAATCATGTGTCCATGCACAGGTACACGTGTCTGTTTCTACACGTGTGCATCATGTCACACCCTTCTAATGCTGGAAGGAAATTAAAACAGGATTTTCTTCACTTCTGTGCTGTTTTCTATTCTACGTTTTTATTTTTGCATTTCTGTGAAGATTCAAACACTGATTATCTTTCACATGTCAAGTGTTTCTATTACCGTGCGCTCACAGACTTGGAAGGAGCGCTTGCTTGTTTTATACTGGTGTATTTAAGTCTGTGTGCTGAATGACAGACCCTGATTCATGTGCATGAGGAGAAAAAGCAGTGATTCGAGTGTGTTTATATGTGTTGACAGATTCATGTTTAAGCTTTGCCTCAGACTTCAGTGTGCAGGAAAAGGACATGAAAATGAGTGGAAGGAGCATTTTGATGTAAAATATTTGATAGATGAAGGTAAAGTTTGACAGCAGATCGACCAGGGTGCGCACAGGGGGGGGTTTCATGGGGCCACAGAACCAAAACAAGAGGCAACATTGAACTGTTTCATCCATGAAGTGAATTTATTTGAAGCACAAACAAAGTGAACGAACATTTAACAATCAAACTGAAGATTTCACATCCTGCACATCTTTAAAAAGCACTGACTGACATCACTGTGGACTGAAACGTCTGCATGCACGAGTCCATAGTTACAGAGAAGTCCACCCAAGGAGGACTTTCCTACCAGCTGGGCTGGAAGCTGCGCCTCCTGTCCCCCATTCATGTGGTGGGAACGTCCTCACACTGGGGGGGGGGGGTCGTCCTCGCTCCTGCTGATGTCTGAAAGAGACGAACGTGGAGTAAACACGAGGATGTAACTGAGAACTACAGTAACTTATTACTTTATCTTTTGATTGTTATTCATTAGTGTTAATGAAACTGAGTGCATGGAGTTTAATCACAGGGCAGTGTGAGACACACAGGTCTGAGGGCTGGTCCACTGCGTCCCTCACAGCTCGTGTCCTCCTCCTCCTCCTCTCTGTAGTTCCCTCACGCTCTCCATCTTCATCTTTGCTAACAGGGAACAAACGTCTGTGTGTCTTTCATGTCAGCTGATGTTGTTCCAGCTGTGACGCTGAAAGCTGAGCTCCTGTCTCATGAGCGACAGCTTCATGTTTCATGGTTAAAGTAAAAGGATGAGGTCTGTCTCTGAGCCTGTGCGGACCGGATTTGTTCAATGTTAAAGTCATGACGCTGGATTCCACTGTGACGTCACCAAACCGTACCGCTTACCTTCGTCTTGTCACGTGTTTTCACGTTAGTCGGCTTTAACGATGCGCTTGTGCTCTTTTTTCTCCTTTCTTCTTGTTCCGAAACCCGCGGGCTGAGAGAGCCAGTGTGCAGCGCACTAAAGAGTCCGTGTTAAACACAAACTAGAACACTAGTTCCAGTTTCCGTAAGAAATTAATTCATCATCGCATCTTCAGCCTTCACGGGACCGAAGATGTCTAAGACATAGAAATGCTTATTATGGGTTCACCTGATGTCATTGAAAAGATGCACATAGGTAACGCGCAGGCCGTCCAGCGCCGAGGTTTATCTTATCACCTCGAGTCTGCGACACTCTCTCCATGTCCTCTCAGATAAGGGCGCGCACATTTCTGCACGATCTTCTAAATTACAAAGAGCGATTCACAAAACAGAAGCTGACCATCACAAACCAAACATGGCTCCACTGAGCGTCAACCTATCACCAGAATTTACTGATAATCTAAAGACTCACATAACTCGTTTTGTCTCATTTTGTCTTAGTTTGAGACATAAGTGCATGATTATAATACTGTGTAGTTAGATGAGACAGAACTGATGCTTCCTCTTAATTATCCTCTTCATTTTTCCCGAGCCTCAGCAGTGGAAGCCTGAAATGACATGACAACGATCCCGTGCCAAGGAGCGCTCAGCCACACTGTTAAGTAGCTCCCCAACAAGGCTTGATCAGGTCCAGGTGTGTGATGAACTTCAAGTGTGGCCAGCCAGCTGGCAGGGCCACCCACCCACCAGGCCTGAAGGTGCCTGTCACAGCCACATCCACACACGCAAACACACCTTCCTATACACACACAAGCATGGACACGAGAACAGCAGCACAGTGCAGAAACACACATAATATAAAAGGAGTCATAACTGCTCATGGACTGGGTCGCTCAGACCCAGGTCCCTGACATGGACGGAGTTTTGGGCACAGATTACAGATTACTGGCTCCTGACTACAGTAGCCGTAATCCATCAAGCGAAGTGGTGCGGCTTCGTAGCTTACCAAAGTCGTACGAAAACATTTTTGACAGATTTTTGAGCGACGTGTACCACATAAAATCGGTTTCGCAAAATCGCTAGCCCGACGTCCCGGAGCTAGCGATATGTCCGGTCGGGCGACCAAAATCTATCTCAGCCCCGCCCGTCAGGTTATCATATAGCCCGACGGGCGGGGCAGAGATAGATTTTGGTCGCCCGACCGGACATATCGCTAGCTCCAGGACGTCGGGCTAGCGATTTTGCGACTTTGTGATCAGCACAATGAGAATTCATACATAAGGCGCACTGGATTATAAAGCGCACTGCTGATTTTTGAGATAATTAAAGGTGTTGGGTCTAAACTCAGACCCTGCTGTATCCAGGACTTATTCCCGTGAAAGAAAAACAAGGCAACAGTGATCGATCGTTTACTTGCAAGGGAGGCCTCGTCGGTATCTCAGCTCATTACGAATGACCCCGACAATGGCCTCCTCTCGCTGCCTTTTATTGGGAAAACAGTTCATCACAGCAAGGCAACGCCCAAATGGTTCTAAGACAAGGCATTGTATGTATATGTGTGAACTTCTGTATGTATGTAAGAATGTGTGTGTGTGTGTGTGTCCTCCTGCTGGGCAGGAAGCTTACATCAAAAACACCGTCACAAGGATGTGTCTGCAATAAAAGACTACAGCCCCCCACCCAGAACCTCGAGAGGGAGGGGGGCAGTGGAATTCCTTGCATCACAGAGTTAAAACGATGTAGAGATGGTAAGCATAAAAATGACAACATTTAACAGTTCACTCTAACAAAAGGATTTTAAGTGCACCTTAAAGTGCAGAAGATACGGTAGTCACTGTTGTTACTGGGAACAGAAGAGTTATAGCACAAAAACATTTTTGAGTAAACATAAGAGTAACAACCTCTGGGTTTACAAAATTTCACCTGAGCCCTTCATACATTTCAAACTATATTGCAATCCATTCAGGCACTGCCAGTGAAAACTTGTTAATAGCTACATGAAAATACTTGGATTCAGCACTTTAATTAAGATGTGATTTTATGTTGGTAAAAGTGAAAGAGTTTACAATAATCTGACAAGGCAAAAATCAGTAATTATACAGTAAATATATCAGAAAATATCCTGCAGACATTGCCATGAACCAAAAAATTAAATTAAAACTTATAACATCAGAAGTACGCAGGAAAAAAAAAATCAAATTCTAAAACAAAACAAAAAAACATGCAGAAATTTGCAATCACACATTTGGTGAAAGGTTTAAATGAAAATGTTTAAATATAATATTAAAAACTACATGAAACAAATAGATATTGTTAAGAAATACACTATCATGCCATGAAAAAGTTAAAAATTACACATCTATAATTGTTGTGTGTCATAAAATGCTACAAGTCAATAAGAAAAAATCGATGAGTAATGCGTTTTTCTTTACTCCTTGAAGAGATTAACAGCTAGGTAGGTACAAATTCAGCGTTTGGACAGCACTGTCCTAGGAGCACTGAGAATGTTATGTTTAGTGACAGTGGCTGTTAGCAAGATCATCTGTATGTGACAGCTCTCCGTTTTATTTCAAACCTAGATGTTTATAGAGAAAGGGATCCTCCTCACGGAGAACCTCAAACATTTCTGAATCACCACCTTTCCTGCTCACAGTGTCAAAAACCCAACTAGCTTTATCTTTTCTGTTTTTCATTGTATTTGCTTTGTCCACTTCATCTTTAGTTAACACTTTTTTTTCCAGCAGGTGGTCCAGCAGACTCCTGAGAACAGGTCCTGATATACTTTCGATGAAGCTCCTTCGTATCTTTTCTGGACCAGCATCCAAAGATTTCACAGTACCAGTTGTTCCTCCAGTAGGAAAAAGACAAACCTCTGTTTCCCAAACACAGGTGGAGCTGCTCTTGTCTCTCAGACACAGGTTAATATCTGTAAAGACTTTCTTTAACAACACCTGAAATGATGGGAAGTAGCTTTCGAAGAACTCCTCTTGAAAATCAGCTTGTTTTGGTTTAACTTTAACGAGGTCATGTTCAGGATCAGTGGCCAGAGTGTAAGCCTGCTTTGGATGCAGTTTGCAGTCAGAGGTTGTCTCGATGTATATCTCAGTTTTGTCTGACTTCTTCCTGTCACGCCGCATTTTGGGGAACACAACATTACGTGGCAACATGAACACACTGAGGACAGATCTGGGATTACAATCGTTTGGGGGTTTGTAGAAGAGCAGAACCAATGATTGGACTGGGTCAGGAGGAGAGTCTTCATCCTTGACATTACCATAAGCAGAAAACCCTTCGATATTTATAATAGCATGAGTTTTGGTTATCTTGTGAGGGTGGATAAACTCGATGCCCTCACCTTTCACATGAGCAACCTGCAAGAACTGGCCTCCACCTGTGGAGATGACCTCACAGTGTAGGATATGAAGCTGACACACAGACTGCTGAGGACACGTGATGTCAAACAGAGGTCCTGCAGGCTTCTTGTGGTGTTGGGCCAGCAGCCTTCTGTTCCAAGGGACAGTCCTGTAAACCACATCTCCTTCTCCCTTCATGACAAACACCAGGTTGGTCACACTGCACTGGTACAGGCCTGGACAGGAGCACTGGAACATGTAGGTTTCATCACCAAAATCATCAACACTGATGTTGGGTGTATACTCATGTAACTTCATGGATGGTAAGCTTGCTGCCCGTGTTAAGTTGTTCCTTGGTACGTTGCTCAATAAAGATGAGTGACTTTGAGAGCGAGTCAGGCAGCAGAAAGCTGTGGAGCAGATGTGCAGGTGCGAGCTTGGTGGCAGGGTGCTGCTCACTGAATTAAACTCAGTCCCTACAGGTGTTTCTCCTGTATGATTTTCAACATCTGGATGGGTTTCTGCTTGCCAGGGAGAAGCTCCAAAAGGGTTTTCAAGCTTTTCTTCATTGCTGCATTCAGGAGACCCAGTTACCAGTAGACTGTGAGAAAGTGTGGAAACAGACGATTTACTTTGGTATCTGCTGTAGTTCATAGGTTCACAGTTTAATTTAGTAACCTGACTTCTAAGTCTCAAGTTCTTCTCTATTATACTATTAAATTTCAGGCAATCACAAAGTTTGTGAAGAATGTATGTCACCAAATTTAAATCAGACCACATATGGTCCTTTTAGTGTTGAGGTCATTTACTTTTCGTAAGTTCTGAGGCGATCTGTAGCACCTCCTCTACTGTCTCTGTGGCTGCTGTGCTCCGTCAACATATGGCTAATTACTGACACAACACTATTTGACAGTGAGATAGACCAGGCCGAAGAGAGATAATAATGATCCACCAAGAACACATTATGAAATTTCTTAACCCAGTCTTCCTTAACTGGATGAAAGGACATTTTCTAGGACATCTGCCAGTCAGTGACATTTTTCTTCATCTCACAACAGGACACTGCAAGCAACATGGAATACACAGAGTTTCTGATTTCTCAGACTTTTTATCTGATTTAGTTCTGAGCTCAGATAAAATAATTATTGTGGGTGATTTTAACATCCATGTAGATGCTAAAAATGACAGCCTCAACATGGCATTTAGTCTGTTATTAGACTCAATTGGCTTCTCTCAAAATGTAAAAGAACCCACCCACCACTTTAATCACACTCTAGATCTTGTTTTAACATATGGCATAGAAACTGAACATTTAACAGTGTTTCCTGAAAACCCTCTCCTGTCTGATCATTTCCTGATAACATTTACATTTACATTTACAATAATTGATTACACAGCGGTGGAGAGTAGACTTTATCACAGTAGATGTCTTTCTGAAAGCGCTGTAACTAAGTTTAAGAATATAATCCACCCACTGTTATCATCTTCAATGCCCTGTACCAACACAGAGCAGAGCAGCTATCTGAATGTTAACTAGTAATGACTTCATGAACTTCTTCACAAATAAAATTTTTATCATTAGAGAAAAAATTACCAATAATCATCCCACAGATGTAATATTATCTACAGCTACTCTTAGTACCACTGATGTTAAGTTAGACTCTTTTTCTCTAATTGATCTTTCTGAGTTAACTTCAATAATTACTTCCTCCAAACCATCAACGTGTCTTTTAGACCTCATTCCTACAAAACTGCTCAAAGAAGTCCTGCCATTAATTAATTCTTCGATCTTAAATGACAAACTTGTCTGGTGGTGTGTGTTAGAGGGATCTGAATTAAACTGTAATTAACCAGAAGCAATGTAAACCGTAAAGTGAGTTATCACATAATCTGTTCCATCAGGTTGAGTTTGTTTTTTAGTAATTATGGTCACCTGGCACACCTTTAGTTTAATGGGAAGAGCAAGCGGACATATACCGTTTGGCGAACAGTGGCTTGCCTGGGTTTGAGTCGGACCTGTGGCCCTGGTCTTCCCTCTCTCGCTCCCTCTGCTTTTCTGTCAGTCTCTACTGTCCCTATCAAATAAATCCAAAAAAGACCCCCATTCTTTTTTTAAATAACAAATAAAATAATTATAATTTGGTCACCTGTATGAAGGTTTTTCAGCCTCAGTCATTTGTGCTTTTCTGAAATCCTAAAAAGTGGACAGTAAAAAAAAGAGATTAGTAAATGACTTCACGCAATTGATGGTTTTCTATAACAGGACGAGACTGCTGATACTCAACTGCACACAGGGACACTGAGGAACCAGGAGACAAGAATGTAAACCCAGGATAAAGAGTTTGAGTGAATGTGGTGTTGAAGGTGTGGAGGTGGATCAGAGTGTCAGAGGAGACTCTGTAGAAGGACAGAGTGCCAGCAGGACAGTCCACATACACTGCTGCTCTGTTAGAGACAGAGGAGGAGGAGGAGGAGGAGGAGGAGGAGGAGGAGATGATGAGTGTTTGTCTGTTATTGTGCCAGACATAAGGAGGATCATCATCAGAGCAGATCAGACTCCAGGAATGATCACTCCATCCAAACACACAGTCTCTGCTTCCTTTCCTTCTGATTCTTCTGTAACTCACTGATATAAAAACGCCTCCTCTCCACTCGACCTCCCAGTAACAGCGACCAGTCAGACCATTTCTACACAGCAGCTGAGGATAAAAACCATCAAATCTGTCTGGATGATCAGGATATGACTGAACCTTCCACACATGTGTCACCTTCCTGTTGTTGTCAGACAGTTGGAGCTTTGTGTTCACTGTGTTTGTGTCGATTGTGAGTTGACAGGAATCTGATGGAGAGAACAAACACAATCCAGCTGCAGTTATTGATCCATCATCTGTTCATTGATTGACACTTTGATGATGACTCCTGACATGATGAAGATGGTTGAATGTGTGCTGCTTTGTTTTCATGAATCCCATTAAAAACACACTTACACTTCCTCAGACCTGGTGTCAACCATCGGACTCCAGCAGGCTCCACCCTGAAAGGAGGAGGGGGGTCAGAGCAGCACAGTCAGTTTCAGTTTATTTGTCATATGCAAGTTAGCACAGGGTCAACATTGCAATGAGATGTGTTTGACGAGCAGCAGTCACTCAGCAGCATGATACAGTAGGAGAAAATAAAATAAAATAATAATAAAATAGAAAAATAGTAAGGAGCAAATATTAGAGAGACGTGGTAAAAGAGAAAAGATGACTAAATATATATGTATCTATAAATATAAATATATGTACACTAGTGATTAAATAAGAAACATGACGGGGGGGCAGATGGGATATTGCACAAGAATGAGCAGCAGAAAATCACAGTATTGCACTTTTAAATATAGATATCAATAAAGTGGAGTGACCAGTGCAGATTAAACAGAGTACTTGTGAAGCTGCAGCTTCTGAGTGCTGTGTGTGTGTGTTTAAGTGTTGTGGTTGAGGTGTCGTATGGTTGGTGGTAGAAACTGTGTTTAAGTCTTGTAGTCCGAGCAGACAGAACCTGTAACGTCTGCCAGATGGTAACAAGAACAGCTGATGTGCTGGGTGGCTGTGGGCCTTGATGATGCTGTGAGCTTTACGGAGGCACAGCTGGAGATAAATGTCCTGAATGGCAGGAAGCCTCGTGCCAGTGATGTGCTCTGCTGCCTTCACCCTCTGTAGTGATTTACGGCTGCTGGCAGAGCAGCTTCGTACAAAACTGTGATGCAGCTCGTCAGCAAGCTCTCGATCGCACACCTGTAGAAATTTGAGGTGATGTTGGCATTCATGCCAAACTTCCTCAGCCTCCTCAGGAAGTAGAGCTGCTGGCGAGCTTTCCTGATAGCAGCGTCTGTGTGAAGCAGTGTCTGTGTGAAGGGTCCAGGAGAAGTCCTCTGTGATGTTGACTCCAAGGAATTTGAAGCTGCTGACCCTTTCGGCCTTGACACTGTTTATGTGGATGGGCTGGTGCTCCCTGACTGGTCGAGAGTCAGGTTATTTTCCAGACACCACTCGTACAGCGCCATCACCTCCTCTCTATAGGCCGTCTGATCATTGTCTGTGATGAGGCCTATGATGGTTGTGTCATCCGCAAACTTGATGATGATGTTGGAATCGTGTTTGGCAACACAGTCGTGTGTGAGCAGGGAATATAGGAGGGGGCTAAGCTCACAACCCTGTGGCGAATGTGAAAAAAAATCCATGAATCCACATGGTAGGATTTGTAAAGAATTTATTGGTAAATCAGGGTGGAAAATAAGTATTTGGTCAATAACAAAAATACAACTCAATACTTTGTAACATAACCTTTGTTGGCAATAACAGAGGTCAAACGTTTACTATAGGTCTTTACCAGGTTTGCACACACAGTAGCTGGTATTTTGGCCCATTCCTCCATGCAGATCTTCTCGAGAGCAGTGATGTTTTGGGGCTGTCGCCGAGCAACACGGACTTTCAACTCCCGCCACAGATTTTCTATGGGGTTGAGGTCTGGAGACTGGCTAGGCCACTCCAGGACTTTCAAATGCTTCTTACGGAGCCACTCCTTTGTTGCCCGGGCAGTGTGTTTTGGATCATTGTCATGTTGGAAGACCCAGCCTCGTTTCATCTTCAAAGTTCTCACTGATGGAAGGAGGTTTTGGCTCAAAATCTCACGATACATGGCCCCATTCATTCTGTCCTTAACACGGATCAGTCGTCCTGTCCCCTTGGCAGAAAAACAGCCCCATAGCATCATGTTTCCACCCCCATGCTTCACAGTAGGTATGGTGTTCTTGGGATGCAACTCAGTATTCTTCTTCCTCCAAACACGACGAGTTGAGTTTATACCAAAAAGTTCTACTTTGGTTTCATCTGACCACATGACATTCTCCCAATCCTCTGCTGTATCATCCATGTGCTCTCTGGCAAACTTCAGACGGGCCTGGACATGCACTGGCTTCAGCAGCGGAACACGTCTGGCACTGCGGGATTTGATTCCCTGCCGTTGTAGTGTGTTACTGATGGTGACCTTTGTTACTTTGGTCCCAGCTCTCTGCAGGTCATTCACCAGGTCCCCCCGTGTGGTTCTGGGATCTTTGCTCACCGTTCTCATGATCATTTTGACCCCACGGGATGAGATCTTGCGTGGAGCCCCAGATCGAGGGAGATTATCAGTGGTCTTGTATGTCTTCCATTTTCTGATGATTGCTCCCACAGTTGATTTTTTCACACCAAGCTGCTTGCCTATTGTAGATTCACTCTTCCCAGTCTGGTGCAGGTCTACAATACTTTTCCTGGTGTCCTTCGAAAGCTCTTTGGTCTTGGCCATGGCGGAGTTTGGAGTCTGACTGTTTGAGGCTGTGGACAGGTGTCTTTTATACAGATGATGAGTTCAAACAGGTGCCATTCATACAGGTAACGAGTGGGGGACAGAAAAGCTTCTTACAGAAGACGTTACAGGTCTGTGAGAGCCAGAGATTTTCCTTGTTTGAGGTGACCAAATACTTATTTTCCACCCTAATTTACCAATAAATTCTTTACAAATCCTACCATGTGAATTCATGGATTTTTTTTTCACATTCTGTCTCTCACAGTTGAAGTGTACCTCTGGTGCAAATTACTGACCTCTGTCATCATTTTAGGTGGGGGAACTTGCACAATCGGTGGCTGACTAAATACTTTTTTGCCCCACTGTATATATATAATATACTATAACTTCTATAATTATATGTATAATTTATCTATTTTGAACATTTTATACTTTAACACTTAACACATGAAAGTCACATTCACAACTTAGTTATAACTCACGTTTCTGTTGCAAAGGACGGTACAGAGTCCACGGACCGAGCACTTGGAAGAGGCAGAAGCAGAGGCAGCACTTGGAGAGGCGAGCACTTGGAGAGGCCGAGCACTGGAAGAGGCCGAGCACTTGGAAGAGGCAGAAGCAGAGGCCGAGCACTTGGAGAGGCCGAGCACTTGGAAGGCAAGCATCCAGAGACACAGCGGAGCGAGCACTCCAGGAACAGATCACTTCCCATGGAGCCAGACTCTGTTTTAGAAAAGTCCTTCCTTCTAAGAGGAGAGGAAGACCACAAGGAACTCTCTCCAGATCTGACAGATAAAGAGAAAAATACATCTATTAGTCATTTTCCACTGAAGCTTTTCTCTACTCTCCTCAGACTCTGCTCCCTGATCATGGTTCTGTTAGAACTATCCTCCTGTTAAAATGTAGCTTTTCCTTCCCATTGTCACCAGATGCTGCTCATAGTAGATCACCTAATTGTTGTTGTCTCTCTAATATTGTACATTTTTATCTTACAGTACAAAGTCAGTTGATTTTTGTTGTGAGTAGATTTTAATGTTTTGATTGGAATCTAAACTCAAACCTGTCATTAAAATGTTTTAAATGGAAATAAATTTTGTTTATATTATTTAACTGTAAATGTTTTAATAAAACATAAATGATAAATATTTTTTTATCAGGGGTCTGTACATTAGTTTGGAAAGAAATAACTCGTGTACTTGCTCCACTGTCTGTGTTACACCCTTTCTGTCTGTGTAACCTAATAAAAGGATCATTTACAACCAGAGCAGCTTTTAAGATGAGGTGGTGTCATCACAAATGTAACCAGGATTCTGCCTCTCAGCGAGTCTTGTTTTGTTGTTTTGGATTCATCGTGTAAGAGTCAGAGGTTTTTGACCGACCACGTTGCATACATATTTCTCAGAGTTCCTTCCTCAAAGAGCAAAATAGCATAAATCAAGCATTCAGTCAATGGAACTTGGAAACGTCTCTGGACTTAACTAAAGGAAGTCCAGTACATGCAGTGTACTGCTTGTGTCAAAGCCTAAAGCAAAAGATGTTGTGTGTAAATAAATGTGTCTTCAATTAAATCTTATACTTTATTATTTCAGGGCAAGCAATGAATTGAAAAACAAATTATTGGGAACTGCTAATGAATTTCTGGTGCTGATAATTGGATTGGTTCAAGCATCAAAGGTAACTAATCCTACTGAACAGCTCGTTAAGTAGAACGCACGTCCAACAGGCAGCAAGAACGATTATTTCATTTTTATTGACTGGAGTGGATTTTAATGGTGGACAAATGGGGAGAAGATTGTTGGGGATGGTTTCTTCTCTTTGGTCTTTAGACAAGATGTTCGGTTCTTATGACAAAGTTTGATTCCTTTGTGTTTAAAGACAAATCCCCTGATTGTGAACCGGTTTGATAACAGCTGATATTTAATTTCTTTAGAAACTGTCTTGTGATTTTGTTTCCTGGTAGAAAACGGTCTTCTTGGTACTAAAG